GAGACGATGTTTGTGTAAAAACATCTTCAGATTTTAATCTCTCTTCAACGATGTGGAAATGAAGACAATCAAAAAAGAAAAAGAAAAACCTGAGGGAAATAACACAACACATAACTACAATGGGAAATAAAAAAAGATTTCTAACGCCCTCTTTTGGGATAAACTATAATTATACAAAAACAATTCACAAAAAGAAATGTTTCTAATACTTGTAATAAACACGTTTACAAACGTGTGAAGCCTCCAGAGTTCTTTCAAATTCCCCCAGGGGTAGAAATTACCCAATGTGAGAACAACTACTCTAAGCCCTGACGTAGCGGTTGTAGCTCAGTCAATAAGAAGTTTATCATAAGCTTCATGAAAAAAAAGACCAAAAACACTGACTGGTCTTGTTTTTGAAGCCTTGTTGGCTGAAGTTTCAATGTTGACTTAGAGAAACAGCCTTAAAAACATCGTGGGAAATAATCGGTCAATACTCAACTGGTCCAGGTGGTAAATAAACACAGACTCACCTGTAGTCTAACACTGGTCCATCTGGATGTATATGCACCAGTGGAGCTTCCGGGTTAAGATCTTGATCTTGCAAATGGGACTTGAAAATTTTACCTGAAATGACATAAAAGTTCTGTGATTTAAATCAAAATCTAAAATGTATTCGTTATTCTTGCAGAAAAAAAAGGTTGTTAATATACGACTATAACTCTGGACATTGAAACTGAGTTTATAGCACCCCCAGCAGGAGGCGAGTAGTGGTACGTTTATGTTCAACTCTGATTTAATAGAACTTTAAAATACGTACATCGTCCGTTTCTACATGTTATTTCCTCACACATAAAGGAAACATAATTTTGGTTGCAGCTCAATCTACCCTGGAGCCCCGGGCACTAATCATCCTCCATACCCGCCAGTGTTTCCTCCTACAGCCTTTTGTCGCTGATTACGCCTCCATCACACAAAGATCAGTGATCAGTGTAGTGGAAGCTCAGCTGTGTTCTGGACAAAAACGACACAAGGACGATGACGTGTGTCTCACCGTTTACAATGCATGGCTACACACACACACACACACACACACACACACACACACACACACGTACACACTAACAAGAGCTGACCCCCCATCCACCCCTCCAGGCAGATTTGTCGTGTATTGTTGCCCAATTTATTATGTAAAAATAATAAAAGATTTATCTGGGACAAATTAGGCAGAAAGCCTCAGAGTGTTAGTCATACACACCAGATATATAAATAATTCATGAAAAAAGGAAAAAGTGAATAAAATGTGTTACTGAATATATTGTTTTATTTAATATAAGTGGGAATTTATACACGAATATACGTTTGTTAGTTCTTAAAAAATAGCAGATTGTATTCTTTTTTTAAAGAATAAAATGCTTCGTTTTAGAATTAGTATTTATTGTTGTTTTTATTCCATTTAACTTAATATCTCAACAACAAAACAGGTTGTCTTTCTTATGAATGTGTAACATGTTTGATTTAGTCTGGATAAAAGTGGGCTGTTCTATTTCGATGTATAGTATAAGTTGTAGTTCAGCAAGAAATCCTGTTGGTGGCGGTAATGTTTTAAGCCAGTTGTTTTTTAATTTACCAGAAGAAGTGTAAGTAGTAAACGCGGAAGCTGCAGGAAAAGACAGTGAAAAGGTGGGGACACAACAAGAAACTTCAGGTGTGTTAACCGGTGACAACACGGTTAGTTGATGGTTTATCGTGTTACTATTACCGTGGGTAATAACGCGTTAACTGTTGTTGTTACATATTAATAACTTTAAAAACACTATGACTATGCAAAAAGCGACAACATTAAACGGTTTCAGTTCGCGCTTTACCCACTTCTCTGAAATAATAATTTGAAAACAAACAAAAATAAATAAATAACAAAAACTATTAGTGCGAGCGATTTGAAGTGTTTTGTTCAATAATTCGTAGTGCGAGCGATTTGAAGTGTTTTGTTGTTAGTGGGAATTCTAAGTAATGTAAAATGTGAACGCATGATGGCGATTAACATGTTTATTTCATAACGACAGTTGAAGATGACGTGTGTGACACGTAACGCGTGTAACAGTGACGGGACTTGTAATTCATAGGGGAAATTATGTTTTTTTTTAAAAAGTTAAATTGGACTCAAACACAATAGAGCGTTTAGTAAACAGAACACGACTGACGTACGGCTGAATAAACACCTACTGTATTAGCTTGTAACACATATTTACATTAGCAGAGCCCTTTCGCTTATTACTTTGCTAACAAAAAAAGAAAGTATAAATTAAATCTAAAAACAGTGACAACATTATGAATTGACATTGATACTAAGTGAGAAAAAAACAGAAAAAACAGTCGTGGAACCGTCATAACAAAACTAGAAGAACTCAGTTAAAGGATCAGAAACCATAATGAAAGTGAAATCCGATTTTCCATTCACATCTTTTGATTTGAAGGTAAGTAAAGTAAGTAATCAGACTTTTTTTTTATATATATATATAGATGTCGGTGACAAGCTGATTTCTATGATGGACGACATAGAAATATAGATGTTGGTGACGAGCTGATTTCTATGATGGACGACATAGAAATGGAGGCAGGGGCTGTGGAGTCCGACAGCTCGTCTGTTGGAGATCCAGTGTCAGGGAGACAACAACGAGGTGGTGGTTCGTCTGTGGGCAGTGACGAAATGTTTTACATCCCTGAAAGGAGACCCTCTCTGGATCTGGCACCAATTGATACCAGTGATTGGTAATTATAAACATTTCTGACATACAGGCTGACCACTGAATATTTAATGTAATATTTTTGTAAGTAGCATGAAGCTTAATAGCAAAGTGACAACGTGGATAGTAAAAAGTAATGTTTAGACTCCATTTCCCATCATGCTTCTTTTAAGGGATTTTGTGGATTGGGCTCAGTCTCCAACTCTGAGCTACATGTCCATGACAAGTGGTGAGCAGTCTGGAAGAATGAGCGATGGAAACGGAAACACAAGGTAGAAAACAGGACAAGACCCAGGTTCAGCTCCGTCACTGTACTCATCATTTAGAGGTTTGTTTTTGACCAGATCCTGTGTCTGTGTGGTTGTAGTTTCCAGTTGACCAGAACAGACTCAAACTCCATCTGCTGCTCCTTGGACAGTGACAACTGTGAAGAGCAAATCCTCAAGTAAGAAAAATATATGAACTTTGCATTGTTCTGCATGTGTAAATAAACTGCTCAACATTTCCATGAATGTCTCCAGGGTGTCAGAGCCTCCTGTTGAACCAAAGGTATTCGATGAGTTCGACCTGTTTTCTGACACACTGGAGCCCGCTGGTCCACCAGAGAGCTCTGAGACGGCCTCCAAGCCTTCCACTACCTTAGAGATACCCACAGACCCCAATGAGTTCAGTCATCCTTCTGTGACGGTGGCTTTCACTTTCAAGGTCAGTCTGTGTTCTCAGCTTCCGAAACATTCACCTGTTCTTCTCGACGCCAACGTGAGATCTCTGCTGGTCTCCTCAGGCGATCTGTGCTGCCCTAAAGAAGTTGTCAGATAAAGGTCTGGAGTCCTTCAAGAACATGTTGTGGGAACATTACCCAAAGGTATTTAACACCACTCCGCTGACCATGGACATAGTGAGCCTGGTGGGGAGTTTGCTTGAGACTTTCAGCCTGGCAGTGTCTCTGAAGATCACCACAACTGTTCTGGAGGAGATGGGACTGGACAAGGCAGCAGCTGAACTGCGACACCTGTGTTTTAAAAGTGGGTACTTTTTGATATATCTTTATACATTATAACTAAGACATGTTGGGTTCCGGTGCACTGTCTGTGAGACTGTGTTCACGCTTCATTAACTCGAGCTGCGATGACGTGTTTTTCAGATGAAGTTCGTCGTTGTTTACGTGAGACTCTAAAGATGAAGTACAAAAGAGAAAGTGTGGATGTGGACAGACAGGGAGGACAGGAGGACAGGACTCTGGACCATATTTTCACTCCTCTCGTCATAAGCTCCAGAGGTCACAACGGCCCCAACACTGAACACGAGGTCCTGACCATAGAGAAACTGGACACCAACAAAGATGTCGGACAAGTTTCTCTCCAGAGTATTTTTCCACCAGAGACGGCGGACGCTGCCGGTCCAAAGATGGTGTTGGTGACAGGAGTGGCTGGATCAGGGAAGTCCATGTTGTTCAGGAGGTTTGTCCTGGACTGGTGCGAAGAGCGCTCCCACGAAAACATTTTATTCTTATTTCCCTTTTCGGCAAAAGAACTCAAACAGTTTGAGAGTTCTGACGTCTCCTTTTTGGACATAATCCAAACCCTCTACCCCGAGTCCAAAAAACTGAGACAGAAGGACTTTCAGGACGAGGAGCACCAGACGATGTTTGTCTTCGACGGCCTGGACGAGTGTCAGGAGATGCTGGACTTTTTCCACACCACCATCCTCAGTGACATTTCGGAGTCGGCTCCTCTACAGGTCATCGTGGTCAACCTCCTCAGGGGCAGGCTGCTTTACCACTCCGTGCTCCTCGGCTTCAGCAGACCACAGGTACAGGCTTGCATTTCCTGGGACACGCACTACCAGAACATTGAAGTACGTGGGTTCAGTGCCCAGGACAGGGACGAGTACTTTAAGAGGAGGTTCAAGGACCCAAAACAGGCAGCAGGAGTCATCGGCTACGTCCACTCCTCACCCACACTCAGAATAATGTGCCACCTGCCTCTGTTCTGCTCCCTGGTGGCTGATGAGTGGGATGGTTTAGTCAAAGAACAGGGTTCAGATCCCGTCCTGACCAGGAGCGTCACCTACATATACACGAAGCTAATTCTAGCGCTCTTGCACCAGCGTCGAGCTCCGGACTCTAGCGTGGACAAGGAGAGAGATTTCCTAAGCAGACTTGGGAAGTTGGCCCTCCACATGTTGGAACAAGGCACGTTCAAGATCACCAGACACACTTGGAAAGAGCTGGAAAAACACGAGGAGCCGTTACTGGTCAACGCCGGCCTGTGCACGGAGTACATCACCAGACCGCACTTCCTGTTAGAGGAGACGATGATGAGTTTCCTCCATCCCACCGTGCAGGAGTACCTGGCTGCGTTTTATGTTTTCATCTGCTTCAGAAACCAGGGGAGAATGGTCTTTGAGCAGCAGTCCAAGCTGATGGGACTCTTCAAGGCCCCCACGGTCACCGACCTGTACAGGAGCGCTGTGGACACTAGCCTGTCGTGTGCCGACGGCAAACTGGACATTTTTCTACGTTTTCTGTGTGGATTGGCGTGCACGGACAACCAGGAACTCCTGCAGCCGTTCTTCAGCGCGCCTGCCGATTGGTCGACAGCGGCCAGAGACGTCGCCGCCGTCATCAGGAAGAGAATCAAAGAAAATAAGTATCCTGGCAGGAAAGACAATCTGCAACGCTGCCTGGAGGAGATGAACATGTGACCTGGCTTCACAGACGGCATCGTCAGTCACACTTCACCACCGATGTACTAATCACCACCAACTTCGTTTTTCTGTCTGTGTAGGTTCTCAGTCATCCAAAAATCCAAAAATAGTTACATTAAGGGCAACTGAAAAGTTTGGGGTTTTTCTTGCACATTTCAAATCAAGTACAAGTGTGTACTGTGTTGTACTTCAACACTAAAATTAATGAGAAAACACCTCTGTACTTTGTACCATTTATTGGCTTTTATGGACACAGTGTGTTTATTTATAAAATGTTTCAGTGCCTGATGTAAAACGAACAGAAGATTTAGTTAGTTAATTTATTTATAATCTAGTCTGAGTCCACCTGCACAGAGACAGAGACAGTGAATGACATTAAACTACTTCTACTCACTCGCAAATAGGAAAATAAAGGATCGGATTTGAACAGTTTTGTTGGTCCTCTCTAGCACCACCTGCTGTACAACATCATTATACAGTAGCGTAGATATACATATATATATAAAACTTTATTAAGCCCTCTGGAGATTAATCCCTGCCGGAAGCTAAAAAAAAAAAAAAGGAACTGTTGCATTGGCCGGGAATCGAACCCGGGCCTCCCGCGTGGCAGGCGAGAATTCTACCACTGAACCACCAATGCGATACATGCTGTAGTTTTCGTCATTTAAGGTATATTTACGGCAGCACACTGACTTAGGGTCTTGTTCTTCCATTTCTTTTTCTACAACGACCGGATGTGAGCGACAGTCTCACGTGCTTCCGGCTCATACCCATCGTGTTGGTCACAACGCAGGTGAAGATGGACCTGAGATCTTCTGGAACCACGTTCTTCAGCAGCAGACTCCTGTGTATGACGGTGCCCTCCTCCAGAGACGATCTTTAAAAAAGAATTAAAAAAAAAAAAAAACGTTACAGCTCAAAGGGTCAACAAAAAAGTACTGGGAGTATAGGTAGAGCAAGATGACTCCAGAAGGGGGCAGTAATGCAACATTTGCACAGTATGAATTATGTCGCTGCTGTTACCAGGCGAGGAATCGAAGAATTGACTCTTTTTTTAGCTCTTAGCTTAGCATAGAGTATATATGCATATATTTTTATATTTTTTCTTTTTTTCTATATTTAAGAGCTCTGTTTTCTTTGGAGCTGCAGCTCCAGTGTTTCTCAGCAAAGTGGATTCAATAATAGGAGAGGTTTACTGATACCAACTTTAATTAGCACCAGCTAATCACTGCACTCGTTATTAAAGGTTTATATTGATGTGACATCAACACACGCACGTACTCGTATGATGTGTTGGTCGTCATTTATTTTATCATTCTGTGATTCTGCAGATGTGTCAGGCATCTTTACTAAAGCTGCTGACCTCTGACCTCTTTCTGTTTGTGGCAACATTAATTAAGCATCACCTGCAGAAGTCCAACATTTTTCCAACACAGAAGACTAACATAGAGTCGTGAATGTGACGATTCAGGAACACTCACTCTGTTACTTCCTTTATTCTGCCACTGCTGGACGTCTCCTCAGGGAAGGTGCCGTTGACCAGCCAGTAGACCAGCGTCAGCTCTTCCTCACCGTCTGACAGAGCATCACAGTGGAGGACCAGAGGTTTGCCTGCAGGACACAACACCCAGTTAGAGACTCGGTGTCTCCAAACGTCACAGCTGACGGATCTTTGCGTAACAAACGTTACCCAGACGACATGTTCTCCGGACTTGAATCGGCCCAATGATCTCCGGAGATCCAGCCTCAGACACTTGAGAAGACATTTATCACAGTCAGACCAGAGTCACACCTTGAAATGATTCAGATTCATTCACATCATCAATGCAGTACCTGGGAATCCAGCTGCGGTCAGCAGACACAAAACAGTCGACACTGTCGGAAGAAACACAACAGGTTAACACAGCGGGACAGACAACCAAACAACAACAACAACAACAACAACAACGTGATCGGGCTGTCATTGAAATCACCTGTGACAACAGGCGGCAGCTCCATGTTCACTCGTCCAGTGAGGTTTTCACTGATGAACGCCGTTGGATTGTCCTGTATATATTCAGATCTACACACACATGCGCGTGGGTTACTTCCCCTAGAGTCCACCCACACAAACTACAATACACCTGGACACACAATGTACGGGGAAATCGTCTGAAAACTGAGACACACACACACAAAAACACAAACACACACAGGCTACAACAAAAAAGGTGGAGACCAGTTTGGATTAATCCTCAAAGTTGACACTGTTGAAAAAATAAAAACCAAAAGACACAAATCTGAACCATGTTTAGACATTTATTAACGGCTCTCGATCCAAAACATTTAACCAATAAAACAGTACAACCGTCCTCTGTGCATGTTGTCCAGTCGCTTTGAGATCTCAAGATAATCAGATCCTGATAAAATAAGACTGGAACCATCAGACCCCCCCACACCCTGTCACACCCCCTCCCCCTGGGTTAAAGGATCATTCTGTCTGATGTCCCTCATAGATAACTGTCTTTATCTGGAAAATCACAACAAACTTTTGGTTTGTAAGAGAGTGATGAAGGTTTAAAAAAAAAAAAAAAAAAAGTTCCTTTAAATCTGCCAAAATATCTCACCTCTGCCATGACTTCTAGTAATGGGAATAAATCTGATTTTTAAAAAGTGACACAGAAGACTAAAAGTAAAAACTTTATCCTATTTAGAATGCCCAGGTTCAATATTAATATGAAATTTAAAAAAAAAAACAACTCCAGAATGATCCTTTAACTGCTCACTTAAGACATTAAATATCAACCAAAAAATATCATCTCATCGTTTTAAGAACCCACTGCAACTGTTTCTGCACAAACCCTTTTTTTTTTTTAAAGGTGCGATGCTGCGTCAAACCACGGATGTCCAAATTTTGTACTAAATCAAATAAAAACAGTCCTGAATTACAGATCCTCTCTAAATATATACAAAAAAAGCATAGAGATTTTTATCGTGGTTTTTAGTTGAAGGTCCAGCCGTAAGTCCGTCTGAGCCACAGCACGTCTTCTACCTGGGTGGTGTAAAGTCCATGTCTGTCTCAGGTCTGTCCCGGGTCACTCCAGACCCAGGACGTAGTTGATACCTTGAACAAATCCAATGATTACAGGCTGCCAGGCCACCAGGTACCGCAGCCAGTCCAACAGTTGTCCATACATGACGTGTGGCCGCTCCCACCTGGACAAACACTGGTCAAGGACAAACTGATCACAAAGACAAAGTCCGTTATCGACGACAGTGATTCCCAATTTTCTTCGTTTTTTTTAATGTGTTACGGGAAAAGCAATTAAATCCTCTACCACTAGGTGACAGCAGATGGCTATGAAAACTAAAAAAAAAATCAGGGATGTTGATGAAGATTTGTGTGTCTTTCTTCAATTCCTGCCAGTACATCAACTGAACAGGAGTACATTTTTAGTGAATTCAAACTACAAAATTATTATATTTCTTTACATATACCTTCTGTCAGATTTTTGTTTGGTGGTGTATATGTGCCATGGCACAAAAAAAATGTTGGGAAAAACTGATTTGCAGTACAGTTGAGTACTGATGAGTATTGTTTACAACCTGGTTCTGCACAGTTGAAAACCAACAGGAAGTAACTGTAGGATGTTATCTGTAAACTGTCTCAGCTCTTCTTCCTAATTGTCATCTACCAAAGACAACAGTCCAAAGTACAGTTGAGGCCCACGCAGTGGTACAGTGCATAGTGCTCTTGCCTTACAGCAGATAAATCACATGCATAGACCCATTGGTGACTGATGATGTTCACTGCTCAGTGACGGCTTCACTTAAGATTTCCATTTTTTGTTTACAGCTGATTTAGTTAATGATGAGTCACATTAGTTCATTGTTTTTCTTTTACCAACCTGTTGATTTACCAACCTGTTGATTTACCAACCTGTTGATTTACCAACCTGTTGATTTACCAACCTGTTGATTTACCAACCTGTTGATTTACCAACCTGTTGATTTACCAACCTGTTGATTTACCAACCTGTTGATTTACCAACCTGTTGATTTACCAACCTGTTGATTTACCAACCTGTTGATTTACCAACCTCGACCACTTCTGTCCTAAACCCACACGTCACATCTGACCGACGATGATAAAAGGATACGGGTTGCTGAACATCCTCTTCAGATCCACCTTCTCCTTACAGTACGGACACATCTGCTTCTTCCCAACGATGCACCATCCTCTTATACAGAACTCGTGGAACCTGGAGTGGAGTCAAGGCCTTGAACAGCAACGGCACGTGAGCAACACTTCACATCAGCAAACAACGATGTGGAATTTCAACAAGGTTTGATGCAGTTTTACGTTGTTTTGTGGTACATTTACAATTAAATACTGTTCTTGGCATTCACTTTGTCAGGTCTTAATACAACGTTATTACGATGTAATACATTGTTGTAATTTACTGCAACATCTAAACTGACCTGACCTTAGATGTGAGTGTGGATTTATCAGATGATAATCAGAGGGGAAGTTGCCCAAAGTTCAGATGAACCACAACATCAACATCCTTGATGCTGAAGGTCCGGTTCAGAGTGGTCACTTCCTCCGCGGCCGTCTCATCACTCTACACTACTTCACTTTACTCATTTCTCAAAAGAGAAGAGGTACCAACAGGTACTTTTGTGTACGGCTGACGGTAAGGATACACATGGTTACAGGACAATCTGTACGTGTTCTCGATTATTCCCTCCTCGCTGACGTCGACCAGGATGGGCTGCCCACACACCGCGCAGATATTATCAGAGAGGTGTTTGGTGGGCATGCCAGAAGCACTGTAGTACTGCAGGAGGGGTGAGGGGGGGCAGAGATGGGAACACAGTAAGTAACATCATCTGTAACGCGGCAACAGAAACGTCTCTGCTCAGTTCACTGACCCCAACAGTTGAAGCCATGAAGTCGGCGCACATTTCTGCAAAGTCTCGTCCCAGGACCCCGTAGTAAAGGCCGTAGAACAGCAGAGAGACTCCAAAGTCCATGGCATCCTCTGGTTTTATCCTGAAAAAAAGAAGACATGGTTTTAAAAAGACACTAAATATTTGTTTAAGGGAAGCACGTCTATTCCTCGGTTTTTAAACTGTTGACTTTTACTCATCGTGTGACGAGAGTAACGTCACCTGAGGCCAAACAGTCAGAACAAATATGTGAAACCCGTCACAGGTGACATTAGTATAGTAGTGAGTTGTAAAAAAGAATGTTTTATGTTGTTGTTATCTTCATATTTCTTATTGATTTTTCATTTATGTGGATATGTGAAATAATGGAGCACAAAAACACAAAACTACAAAAATATGATTGTACTACATGTTGTTTAACAGTTTAAATTCACCGCCATTAAGGTGACGTTACATTCTCACCAAAGAAACGTCCCAAAACACGTACCTGAATATTAGGTTAATACCAAAAAGTGTAAACATGATGACACTGTAACCAACTATCCCTATGGCGTAGCTGATTTTGTACAGGAGGAGGAACCACTTGTACACCAACCTACAGAGGCCGAAGAAGGGAACGTGTCAGATCAGGACTAAAACAGTGACAAACGTTGTTGTTCTTAATGCTGTCGTGTCAACTGCAGTCGTACCGCGGTGTTGTGCAGGCCAGGGGCTTGCGAGTGGCACGGTAGGAGACGTAGGCTGTGATGACGGAGAAGATGAACCACGTGGTGAGGAAGCGCCACCAGTGGAGTTTGGTTGTAAAGTAGAGGGGCACCACCCACATCTGAAACAGCGTCACCAGCTGCAGAGCCAAAAAGCAGAGGCAACAAGTTAGAAGAGATCCAAAACAGGTTCTTCAACGAGTCTAAGATAAATAAATATTAAATTTCTACATGGTTTAACACAGATGAACAGAAAGTGAGCAGAGCTTTTACACCGAGAGAACATTTGACATAAAAACAGAGTCCGTCTTGTTCATTTTATTTAGTTTTCAGCTTTAGCTGTTTTTCTTACATTGTATGACTTTGGATGTCTCTGTTTCCACTGCACAAGGACGAGCTGGGCGACGACCAGAGTGACGATGAGGATGAGGACCATCTCTGCATGCATGGCTTCATGGCCTTTGTGCTTGGCATGCATTTTTGCATGATCCACCCTGTGGAGAAGGAAGATTTAATAAAAAAAAACCCAAACAAAACATACTTAAAACAGAATTACACCGCACCCACAGAAACCTTAAAGAAAGGCAGTGCAACAAAGAACCAGTACTTGGAAAAGCGTACCATCAAATATTATGAAAATAACAACAACACCACCAACCTCCACTTTTCTTCAGGCGAGAGCTTTGACACATCGATCTAAAGAAAGAAAAACAAAACAATGACTCTGCCCTTGGATTTTTAACCAAGTAATCCATCTTAAACATTGTTATCTGGATAGGCTCTGCAAGTATCTAAGGTGTCATTTTTCAATGCTTGCACAACAAACAGTATAATCTTTTTTTAAAATAATAGTCACTCTTTGCAAGACTCAGTGTTCTCCACAGAGAAACGTTAAACTGAGAGGGCTTTACTGCTGTATGAGAACAGTCATGAAAAATGAAACACAAAACATTAGAAATGACATTATACAATACACCAAATAACATTATGTTATTGTCCTTCCTTCATGTACTCTCATCCTTATGTAATAACAGGTGTCGTAAGCCTTTTTTTGCATTTAAAGAATGTGTTTCATGCACAAGATGAGATGAGAAAATGAAAGAAAATAGTCAAAACTATTATAACTCCGTAGCATATGGTGGAGATTATTAAAAATCCAACGTGGCAAAAAAAAATTGAAAAAAGTAAACTTGGTTAAGATAAACCAAACATACACATTACGTGCATTATATTAATATATATATTTATTTGTTAGATATGAGCCCATACAATTTTAGATATACTTAAACATTCACACAAAAAAGATGCAGTGAATATATTTTTTAAAGCCTCCATCAGATAAAATAAACATAGCTCACAGTGGGCGCTAAAAACAAACATCATAAATGGCAAAAAAATGGCAATAATACCACAAGTTTACCAGAAAAAATCAAACACATTTTTAAAAAATGACGCTTATAAATATATTTAAGACTGAAATTTGGCCGGAAGTCGTCTGTCATCATGAGTTACCAAGCCTTCATTGATTTAAATATTTGGCCCTTACCGTATAGTAAACCTTTGACCCTTAGAGCCACGTCAGCTCCATTAATTCGTACATTTATGACCATAAAGCAATAAACGAAGTCGGGTGTTCCTGCAATAATAACTTTATTTCCTAACATAATATTTCAGAATTTCACAGTGAAAAAAACAGGACCCATTCCTAGGCGGTTAGCTAGCCTAGCCCGGCTGAACGGCTATCACTCAGTTCCGTAACTTGAATTTCCTTTAAATAAATAAAAAAAAACTCGGTTACGTTTGTAACAAAATGTTTCTTTAAATTATAATTATGTCGTATGCTGACAGACTGCTGTTAAGGGTGACCAACTGCAGTTCAAACTATGATTTGTAGCAGCTGCTAACAGGCAGAGTGGCGTGTTGTCCGCTGTAGGTACCCGGTATAAAAATAAACTCGCTGACTAGCCGTTCACTTCTTTGACGGTAATCTCGTCCTACCGGGTTCGGATCGCCGTGGTGCTCCAGTCCATGGTCGTGCTCCACACCGTCCACCTCCACCTCAAACACCCCTGCCATCTTCGGAGTGCTGGTTTACTTTGCTGAGGCCATTAGCACCAGATTAGCACGAGCCCAGAATCCTTCACTTTACCCTTCAAAATAAAGTTCGCAGAAAATGTAGGTCAAAAAGCTTCTCAAACTCAGAGGTGCAACAATAAATTAACACACAAGCAGTAAAATGTGAATGTTATTTGTGGCATTGTTATTTAAATCCTTTTTTTTCTTACAAATATTCAGGTTTTTTATTATTAAAAACAAAGAAAATCTAGCTTTTTTTTTTCATTAAAGTGGGTTATGTGTAAAATTAAGCCAATACAAATATATGCATTTGTGGGGGAGTAAGATAGAAAGTAATAACAAACCACAACGAATGACAAACTACAGAATAACAAGTGACATAGTAAAAAAAAAATAGTACATTAAGCAGATGTTGTTATAGAGAGTGGCTAGAAAATAACACCAGGTGCAATTAAAAACACGTATCTACAAGTTTAACCCACTTCTGTTGAAAACGTCCCGCCACACCGAGCGGAGGGGAGGACTGAAAATTGTATAGGGTCCTTTGGCTAGGCCGTGATTGGCTGAAGAGCCGGGGGGAAGTCTTTTGTGATGACACAAGCTGGTTACACTGGCGCCTGGCTTTTTGGCGCTGCAGTTTGAGATTCAACTGTTCCGTTGGATGTTTCTAGTTGTGTAATAACAGGAGAACAAAACCAACTTATTTTTTAACTTTTATTTGGAAAAAAACAATTGTATATTTCCTTCAACGTCTACCTCAAAGTAAACGAGTCGCCCTGCTGTCAACATGTACGTCATTAAACGAGGTAGGGAAGGATGCTCTTATATATTTTTTACTGTCGTACACTTTTGTCTTTATTTGCAATTTGTGGATGTATGAATTATTTATTTGTTTGTTTTTGTATACGATGTATAAGATTTTTTTATCTCAGATCTGTCGTAACTCTGGTTTTGTTATGGTTTTTTTGACGGTTTGTTCTCGAAGACACCTGTAACAAAGAGCCACGAGTGAGGAGTAAAGAGAAAGCTTTTGTTTTGTCTGTTTGGTGATTTCATTAATTCTGTACGTCAATAAGCCTAATTTTTAAATAACACAACATGGTTTCTTAGATCTTATTGTTGGCGTTGTTTGAATAGCAAGATTACATGTGTTTTTGTCTAATTATTCTAGTCTAGTTGAATAAACTCGATTATCATTGTGCATTTATTGTTTGGCATGAAATTGTGTCTGGTTGGCTTTAAACCAGGTTGTCATTGTTCTGTATTGACAGATATTGAAACTTAACTGCAATGGCGCGAAGTAGCTGTGCTTCATTTCCTTTAGTTGTCATACAAACCAGTTGGACCATAACTGTGTCGTGTTGTTGTCCTGCGGGACACACGGACTAATGAGAAGACATTAAAGGATATTTAATTCTAATCTGATCCATCCTTTAATATTCACCAATACCAGACTCGGTTCACTCTTGTAGCACCGAAGCTTTATAGTAGATATTATTCATTAATATTCAAATAGTGTATTAAATATTTATAAAATATTTCAACTTTACTGCTAAATTATTTTTTCATACTATGTATTCGTTTATTTTATGATACAATATTCTCTATTATTTTAGAAATATTTATATAATTTGACGCAGGAGAAGTAAACAACGGACGCAGGGGGGCGTAATTGACGGTTGCGCAGCTGTTCCCTGTTTTTCTTTTTGTTTCCGAGAAAGTTTCGTTTCATGAAAAGTGGCAAAACGAAACGTTGGAAGTTTTGGATTAGATCCAAGATACACTCGGAAATGAGCCTTCCTTTTGTTTTGTTTTTTGTTTTTTTGCTTTACACAGTTTTTTTTTCAACATATGCAGCTAAATATCATATCAAAAACTAGTGCACCTCAGAAATGTGTCCCCCCTGTCAAGTTTGCTCTCGAATGCTAGAAAATTTGCTAGAAAATGCTAATTTAAAATAGCCGTTTTCTTCCAACTATGATATAATAGTTTTTATTAATTTAAAATAGCCGTTTTTTTCCAACTATGATATAATAGTTTTTATTAATAGTTAATAGTTTATTATTATGATTATTTCTTTCCAGATGGACGCCTGGAGGGAGTTACCTTTGACAAGATTACCTCTCGCATTCAGAAGCTTTGTTATGGACTCAACACTGACTTCGTCGACCCTGTAAGTTATTTGAAGTGATTAAAGTAAATGTCAATAGTTGTATATTTCTAATCATAATCTGGTAAAGAATTTGACAATCACCACAGGTGCCAATATTGTTGTGATTTTTTTTCAATAATTCTATTTTAATAACAGTTTAATTACCTTCTTTTAAATAAAACTAAGCATAAAATAAAAGACGAATGAATGAAGAGTGTTTAAAAAACGTTAGATACTGGAGCAGGTTTCAAGCAACTTCTCATCCCTGCAGGCCCAGATTACGATGAAGGTGATTCAGGGTCTTTACAGTGGGGTCACCACTGTGGAACTGGATGTTCTGGCAGCAGAGACGGCAGCCACTCTCACCACCAAACATCCAGACTACGCCATTCTAGCTGCACGAATAGCTGTGTCCAACCTGCATAAAGAGACCAAGAAAGTTTTCAGCGGTGAGTGACATTTGCCACACATTTACACCCACTGTGTTTGAATATTTCTGTTGTAACTTATTCCCCTTTTTTTTTTCCTCCTGTTCGTAGATGTGATGGAAGACCTGTACAACTACGTCAACCCTCTGAACAAACGACACTCCCCGATGATCTCCAAAGAGACGTTGGACATCATCAGTGAAAACAAAGCTGTGCGTCACGTTTTAACGATACATTTGAGTCATATTTTACATGTCTGTGTTTTTGTTCCAATGTTCTGTATTTAACAAATTATCTTTTTTTCACACAGCGCCTCAACTCAGCCATTATTTACGACAGAGACTTTTCCTACAACTTCTTTGGCTTTAAGGTGAATATAATACTACTTTATATATATATATCTATATCTCATCTAATTCCATCAAGGTGTGAATCTCTTCTTCCTTTTTCTCCTCCAGACTCTTGAGCGGTCGTATTTGCTGAAGATTAACAGCAAAGGTGAAAACCTGTTCATTTTCGTTGCGTCAGTGTATTCACTGGAGACGTTGTTTGGTCAATAATTAAACTGCCCTTGTTGTCGTTGCCACAGTCGCTGAGAGGCCGCAGCACATGCTGATGAGAGTAGCCGTTGGAATCCATCAAGGAGACATCGATGCAGCCATAGAAACCTATAACCTGCTGTCAGAGAAGTGGTTCACCCACGCCTCACCCACACTGTTCAACGCAGGCACCACCAGGCCGCAGCTCTCCAGGTGAAGACACTCACGTTGCCCTGGGGTTAGTCCTCAGATGAGTCATTGCAGTTTTTGTTTTTAAACCAGTTACTAATTTCTTAGTCTTTGTTCCCTGCCAAGTATTTTTTACTTTGTCCATTGAATGATCTATTCTTCTGTGCAGTCACTTTTTTTTTTATCTCTTTCTGACCTGATCTAATCTTTGTTATTAGTTCTTCGTGCCCCACTTTATCAGCTCTCGAGTTCCTCTTTTTTTTTTTTTTCCTTCTTACTTTTTCTTCTTCTTCTTCTACTACTTCCTCTCCTACTTCAATGTTTTCTTCCTCTTCTACAACAGTGATATTTCCTTATTATTTCCTTTGTTCTTTTGGCCTCAGCTGTTTCCTGCTCACCATGAGAGACGACAGCATTGAAGGCATCTACGATACTTTGAAACAGTGTGCTCTCGTCTCCAAATCAGCCGGTGGCATTGGACTCGCAGTCAGTTGTATCAGAGCAACAGGCAGCTACATTGCAGGGGTGAGTACTAACAGTAACTGTATTTATTTGAGTCACATGTCATTTTTACCACTTTAGTTTTTGCCCTGAACAATTTAATCAACTTTAACTGCAAACGACAGTTAAAGTCTTGAAAAAGTTTTTACACAGTTTTGTTCAAATCCTCGGTCTCTTCCAGACCAATGGCAGATCCAACGGGCTGGTCCCAATGCTGCGAGTCTTTAATAACACTGCCCGCTACGTCGACCAAGGAGGAAACAAGGTAAGAGTGCAGAGAACAGTAGCAGTACCTGCCGTCATGGCTGTACTTGAGACAAACTTCATTCACACGTGGTTTTTGTTTGTTTTTTTCTGTTCAGAGACCTGGAGCCTTCGCTGTGTATCTGGAGCCGTGGCACTCTGACGTGTTTGACTTCTTAGAACTGAAGAAGAACACGGGGAAAGAGGAACAGAGGGCCAGAGACCTGTTCTTTGCTCTGTGGATCCCAGACCTCTTCATGAAACGGGTGGAAACTAATCAGGTGAGCGGTGGCAGAATTAAGGAGCTCTGTTGTGTCAGCTTTACCCCTGAAACATGGAGGTTACAAACACCCCACTGTGTCATCAATGTCTGTAGGACTGGTCTCTGATGTGTCCCAGTGAATGTCCAGGTCTGGAGGACTCCTGGGGGGAGGAGTTTGAGGAGCTCTACACCAGGTAGTTTCAGCATCACCTGCTCCACAAATAACTGGTATTTCTTATAATTAACTGGTGTCGTTCCTGTCCCTCAGGTATGAGAAGGAGGGCCGGGCGAGGCGTGTGGTGAAGGCTCAGCAGCTGTGGCACGCCGTCATTGAGTCACAGACAGAAACAGGAACTCCCTACATGCTCTACAAGGACGCCTGCAACAGGAAGAGCAACCAGCAGAACCTGGGAACCATCAAATGTAGTAACCTGTGCACAGAGATCGTGGAGTTCACCAGTAAGGACGAGGTAGGATGGAAGACCAATACAACAGGGAAAAATCCAATATTTTTCTGGCTTGCGAGCAGGGGTTAGAAACATTGCTGCCACCTACTGGCTGTATTGTATGCATACTCTATAAAGTGAAGAAAATATTTTAAACATGTTCCCCTCTCGCCCACAGGTGGCCGTGTGTAACTTGGCCTCCATCGCCCTCAACATGTTCGTGACCCAGGAGAGAACCTTTGACTTCAAAAAGCTGGCGTCCGTCACCAAAGTCATCGTCAAGAACCTCAATAAGATCATTGACATCAACTACTACCCGGTGCCCGAGGTCTGCTCTCTGCTCCGTCGCTCCGTCCTCAGCGTGGCTGCAGCTCACATGTTTGACTGAATCTTCTCTCTCTCTCTCTCTCTCTCTCTCTTCTTTAGGCCGAGCGGTCCAACAGGCGACACAGACCCATTGGCATCGGTGTCCAGGGTCTGGCCGATGCCTTCATTCTCATGCGCTATCCCTTTGAAAGCCCAAAGGCCCAGTTACTGAACATTCAGATCTTTGAGACCATCTACTACGCCGCCCTGGAGGCCAGCTGTGAACTGGCAGAGAGGTTCGGTACCTACGAAACCTATCCTGGTTCTCCTGTCAGCAAGGGAGTAAGTCATCATTACTGCGGCTCTGATCCAGATTAGGATGGAGATCTCAGGTCCTGATGTGTTTGGTCCTGGTTCTGTTTTCCAGATCCTCCAGTTTGACATGTGGGGTAAAACCCCGACTGACCTGTGGGACTGGAGCTCACTCAAGGAGAACATTTCCAAGTAGGTTTTTCTCACTGTGTTTGCTGTGGGTGTCGTGACCCCAGTGACCCCTGAACGGGGAACCATGATCATAACAGTCTGGACTCACACCACTGCCCTCTGTCCTCAGACACGGTGTGAGGAACAGCCTACTGCTGGCTCCCATGCCCACGGCGTCCACCGCCCAGATCCTGGGCAACAACGAGTCCATAGAAGCCTACACCAGCAACATCTACAGCCGCAGAGTTCTCTCTGGAGAGTTCCAGGTCAGCACCGTGTTCTGTAGTTTTTGTTTGTTTATTTTACCTCTAAAACTGTTAGGAACAGAACGATGACTGTGATTGGTGCGCGGTCCTACAGATTGTGAATCCTCACCTGCTGAAGGACCTGACGGAACGAGGACTGTGGAGCGACCGGATGAAGAACCAGCTCATCGCTCACAACGGCTCCATCCAGGTGAAGGGTCAAGTCTGGTGGAGATAATGAACATTATCAAAAACATATAGTTGATACCAGACTTGTATATTATATATTTATTACAATTATTATTATATATATTTGTTTATGGTAAAAAAAAAGTTTTAGATCCAGACCTCGTTCTTCTCTGTTCCTTTTTTCGACAACCTGGTGGTGACGTCATATGACGACGAATTAGTGCGAATCTGGCTTTTAAATAAGGATTCTCCGTTGATTTAATTTATTTATCTAAACTTTAAGTCATAACTGGTCTGAAACATCACTCTGACAGACGTTTTAAAACGTTTTCTTTTTTAACTCGTCCGACAGGACATCGCAGAGATTCCTGACGATCTGAAGCAGCTTTATAAAACGGTGTGGGAAATCTCCCAGAAAACTGTCCTGAAGATGGCAGCAGATCGCGGCGCTTACATCGACCAGAGCCAGTCTCTCAACATCCACATAGCCGAGCCCAACTACGGCAAACTGAGCAGCATGCACTTCTATGGCTGGAAGCTGGTGAGTCAGCAGAAATGTACATTTAAACGGCTGTTTTATGGGTGATGTGCAGCGGTGACAATGTCTTTATGCTAATGTTTTCTTCTTCTTCTGCAGGGCCTGAAGACAGGCATGTATTACCTGAGGACCAAACCTGCTGCAAACCCCATTCAGTTCACTGTGAACAAGGAGAAGCTGAAGGAGGCGCAGGCAGCCAGGAGTGTGGAGGAGTCAGAGGAGGAGACCAGGGAGCGGAACACTGCTGCTCTGGTCTGCTCTTTAGCCAACAAGGATGAGTGTCTGATGTGTGGCTCCTAACTCACACACACACATTTACTGACAAATGAACTGGTTTTAAAACCAAGTGTTAATTATCTTCATCGGTACAGTTTGTAATTAAATGTTAATGTTTTCATCGTGGGATTAAATTTGTTGTATTTATAGAATCATCAATGTGATTTAAATGAACGGAGGAATTTTTTCTGATGTAATAAATGTTTTTGGGTTTTTTTTATATAAACATCACATCAGTCTGTATTTAAAGTGTGAAGAGAAATAAAGTTTTTATACAAATATCTTTAACTTTTGGTCATGGACTCAAACATTTAGCTAACTTTGCTAACCTTTAGTTACTGTATTATCAGATACATTTTTGTAATTTTAGCTCAACCTGTTTATTTCACTGTATTTCTAAACAAATCCGTTTTGCTAAAAAATAACATTGAAAGGTTATTAACCTTTTTGTGTTCATTTTTTTTTTACCTTTCTTTTACTACTTTTGTTCAACATTATTAACACATTTGCAATGAGTGAATGTCAATCACAGCCACGTATTATTTTTCCAGTAGTGTTTTTATGAGTGGATGTTTCGTCTCCATGGACGTTTAAACAACAACAATATATTTAAACATGACGTCAGTACAAACCTGGAATTAAATCTAACAACATTAACAGCTGAGTGATGGGTTGGTAACACGGAGAAATGGAAAAAGGGATGATGTCATCACTGAGGCAGTTCAGCAACAAACAGTCTACAGTGTCAAAGCCGTGGGGCGGGGACGCAGCCCGCCCTGGGGCCTGTGATGCTGCGGGCAATTATTTAATGAAGCGCTGAGTCCATGCATGAAACCTCACTGGGAGCAGTGTGTGTGTGTGTGTGTGTGTGTGTGTGAGGCAAGCTGAGACCTGCGCTGCCCCACTGTGGCGTCGGCTGTTCTGCAGCTGAAAAGGGAGGAATTTCTCACCAAGCTGCGGAGCTGCATTCTCCTACAGCAGAACTGAGAGTCTGCGCTGGAACCACAGATCTGGTCAGTGACAAACGGGTGACGTTAGAACATGGACCTCACCCGAGGTGTGGGACGGTTCTCAAACGAATTATTATAGAATAATTCAGCTTTTCTTATGTATTTTAGACATAAAAAGGAAATTTGAGAAAAGAAATATAAACAAAGACATTTTTAAAATTTTGACAAAATCAAAGCTTTTTTTTTTGCTTATAAAGGCTGAACAAACGGGTCCCAGGACAGAGCCCTGAGGAACCCCAACGCCATTGGATCAGGTTATAAATTAGCTCCTCTTCTCCAAGCAGGTTCTGAACTATTCTGGTACAACGTGTGACAAAGTTTGAGGACCACTGTTCTAGACTATTCTAGTCCAAATACAACCAAAACATCTGCTCCGCAGCTGCTGCTCCACCGCGTTGGAGCCAACATTAAACCACCGGACCAAACCAAACCCTTATGTTGAACATCGGACACAGGGTCAAACTCAAAAACCCAGGTCCAGGTCAGGGACTCACTAAGGTTCTGTCGGTGGAACCTTCTCCATCCTGCGACTCAAACCCTGTGTCCTGGGAGGTGCTGCTCCCTGTTGGTGAGGGGATGTTTTTGTCCTTGGTCTCTCTGACGCCCGGTGTTTTGGCCCCGCCCTTCTCTGTCTTTCTGTCCTTCCTCCACTCGGCCTGGACCTTCCTCTCCTGCAGCTCGATGTCTCTGAGCTTGTTGACCATGTTTTTAGTGTCGGCCTTCTCGTTCTTGGTGGTGATGACCTCAGTCGTCTTCGTTGACTCCACCTCCACCTCCTCCTTCACCTGGTCTTCAACCCGACGGCCGTCTGCTCCAGAGTCCTCCTCATCTTTTCCTTCACTGGCGTTCTCCTCTGGTTTCTCCTCCTCCTCCTCCTTCCTCTGCACCTCCCCTGGCTTTGACTTGACTCGTCCTTCCTCCATCTTCACCACATCACAGTCCGTCACCCGCTTCACCTCCTGCGCTCCACCTCCTCCAGGCTGGTTCTCCTGGTTGGCCTCCCCCTCCTCCCCCCCTTCCTGGTGCACCGTCACGTGAAGTTGTGTTTGGGACAAACTTCTTTCGTCTGTTTTGTTGTTGAAACCTCTGAAATTGTTCTTGGCGCCGATGATGTATTTGCCCAGCAGGGAGGCGCCATCTTTAGTCAGGGCGTCGTTTGCAGACAGCTCCTCCTCCTTGGTGAAGAGCTGCTGCATCGATTTCATTTCCATGTGTATCCTGCCCACGGCTTTGTTCAGCTCAGTGATTCGGTTACCGATGTCTGAGCGAAAAAAGAAAAAAAAAGACAAATCCAGTCACAAAACTGTAAAATCTATCTGTAGAGTAGATTTCTAGTTCAGAAGAAATGTTTACTGTGAAATAAGATTAATAAGATTATTATTATATAAATATTTTTATTTTTCTGTGAAGTTCATGTTTCTTCATGTAAAAGTAGAAACAAAAAAATCTGATATAAATGATCACAAATCCTATAAATTATATAATTTATATAATTTACTTTTTTGAGGCCTAAATATGCCATTTTTAAAGGACTAATACACAGTAAAGGAAAAGGCAGCAGCAGGAAGTGGACTGAAAGAAAACACTGATGGAGGAGACACTGACTGAGATATGATCAAACATGAACGCAATTTGAATGTCTTTCACCGATGCGTGAAATATTCTCTGGCGCCGATCTGACCTTCTGACTTCACAACAACAGCGTTACCTTTCCTCTTGGCCTCCTCGAACTCCCTGCGCGCCGACTCGATGTACCGCTGCACCAACGCCCTGATCACCTGCTGCCGATACGGCACCTGGCTGTCCTCGGAGCCTTTTTCATTGGACTGGGAGGAAACCACGGAAACGGTTAATGAACACAGACAACAACAACAACCGACGTCACTGTTTCCTCACAGATCCACGGACGCGGGCGTCGTACCAGAGACGTTATCGGAGGATATTTCTGTTCGGCGCTGCAGCAGCAGCAGAGTTTCCTGAAGATGCCCCTGGAAGAGGAAGTCAAGTCAGTGATGGAGCAGAGACTGACAAAAATGTTAAAGTGTGAACCGGTGAGTGCGAGGAGCCGACCTGATGATGTAGAAGAAGGCCTTGGGCGAAGGGATGATGTTGAACGGCACCGGCATGGTCAGGCCTTCTCTGAAGTAGCTGAGGTAGAGCTTGGAGCGAGCAAACTTCCACTCCACGTCGGCGTCGTCCTGTGAAGGAAACACTCTGCAGCCGCCAGGTTCTCCACAAAGATTTGAAGGATTGAAAAGAATTCCCGGTTTACCTCGATCTTCTGGAAGGAGTTTGTGATCATGGCGATGAGCATGTTCAGCAGCACGATGACGATGACCAGGGTGAAGATCCCATACAGGATCCTGCCCACAAACTCCGCCAACACAAACTGCGGCATGTCCACGTAGTCCTGGTTGGCCACTCCAAACATGGTCCAGAACAGGAAGTGGAACGTCTCGTTGAACCTGCAGGAGAACACGGAACGTGTTGTCAGGTTCTCCGCCGTAGAACAGTCCAGGAACAAAGTCAAACGTCCAGAAATCTTTGAAATAATCTGATTAAAATCACCGGAAAATCATCAGATTTATTTTGTGTTTGGACAATGAGACGAATCAACTGATGTTAGAAATACACAAATATATTCACAAAAATTCACATGGACTCAATATGGACAAAAATTCACAAAGATTCACATGGACTCAATATGGACAAAAAATATTATAAAAAAACTGAGCAAAAAATCCAACAGTTCTTTTCAAAATCAACTCCAAAAGTTTCAACTCCAAACTCGAAATTAGCTCCTACCTGGTCCAGACTCTTACCTGCCAAGATGTGGAGACGTGACGTAGGGGACGTAGACGTTGTTGATGCCACAGAGGAACGCCGTTCCGATGATCATCAATATGAACATGAATCTAAAAACAGGAGGAAAAAGAAAATCTTTCTTATTCAACCAGACGTTCAAATTCTACTGCAGCGCTGCATCGTTCTAGGTCGCGCTGCTGCCACCTACAGGATAAGGATAAAACTTTTTGACTGGGAAAAGTTCTCGTACCTCATCATGTCGTCAATCATCTTTCCAATGGATATCTGCAGCGTTCCCAGCGACTCGTGGGCCGGCAGGATGTAGGCCAGACGGGTGAAGCTCAACATACTGGTGACTGCGAACAGAACCTCAGATATCAGCTGGGGGTCCTCCTGGTGCCAGTGGTCACGCCCTGAAGGACCAGGTGACACGGACACATGATGATGATGAAGATGATGATGAAGATGGAGGACAACATGTGTCACCCCTCTCACCCGCCTCACTCCACCCTCCTCACCTGTCTGGGTGAAGTAAACACACTCGTCTGCGCCGTCCAGGTCATGGCACAGGAAGTGACCTTTGAGGACGATGAGAACACGCAGGACGAAGGAGGCCAGGTACATGCTGAGGACCATCATGTCCAAGCAGTTCCACCAGTCCAGGAAGTAGCTGCGAAGACCCTCGATCCAGACCTCCTTACACTCGTACCAGAAGAAACCTGCAGAGAACGCCACAGAACAGTCAGTACTGCTACAGTACTACAGTACTACAGTACTGTAGTACTGCAGTACTACAGTGTGTACCATGTGGTTGTGTCGGCTTGGCAGAGGCAGACGTACCAACGACCCAGACCATGTGGAAGGAGTTGTGCAGCATGTTCTGCTGCCGGGACGCAAATTTGTCTCGATACGCCTCCATGGCCATGGACTCCCCCAGGAGCGTGATGAGGAACCACAGGTAGGAGGCGGAGTGGAGCAGGAACTTGATGACGGGGATCTTCAGGATCTTTCCAATCTGGTGAAGATAAAAGACACAGGACATGAGCCTCGCTGGTCGGACCAGAACGTCCGGGAGAACTCTTCCACAGAACCTTGGACTTTGGTGCGATCCAGTAGACGAGGCAGAGGAAGGGCATGGTCAGAACGATCAACACGGAGACGAAGAGCTTCCAGGCCGTCCTGCTGCCTCTCCAGCCCGCCAGGTTCCCACACCAGATGGACGACAGGACCTGCTGACAGATGGGATGGGCCACGAACTGCAGAGGGAGACAGAGGGAAGTTACGGATGGAATCCAGGAGTCTGGAGTGAACCTCCACCGGTCCCCGCTCCGTCCACCTGCTTCTGGTTGTAGTTGACGGCCAGCCTCAGCCTGGAGAGGTTGGGGATCCCCTCCTCGAAGACCTGCTGGTCCAGCTCGTCCTGGGTCTCGTCTCCGCAGCTGTTGAGGATCGTCGTCACCTCGCACTGATTCCGACACATTCCCAGCAGCTCCACCGCAAACTCCTGACACAGCTCCTCCAGGCCGAGGTACTGAGGCTGAGAGAGAGGAGGAGCACGGTCAACCAACACAGGACAGGAGGAGGAGACAAGAGGAGGAGACA